ATAAGTAAATTTCTATTTAAGTTACAAAATAACTATCTAAATTTGTATCTTATCATTTATTCTTTTATAGATTAAAGAGTATTTAATAATTTGGTTGTATTGGAAATTATATTTTTTTAATATTTAATGTTTGATTGAGTATTATTAATAATTTAAATAACAAAATATTTAATTTTATTAAACAAGTTATTAAACTGGTTACATATGCAATACGGTTAATAAACAGGTCGGATTAATGTTGAGGATTCCTGACACGATTATTAAACGTATCGTGTTCGGGTTAAACTGTTTAGTAAAATACTCTTAAATCGATATGACACGATTACGATTTGCGAACACGAATTATTATCCCTATATTTGCGTGACTTTCTTTAGCTCTCAAATTTGAAAGATTATAATATATTCAAGCCACTCTTATCTTGGAATTTTTTGTTATAATTACTTTGTTACTGGTTGGTGTGAACCTTTATGTGTGTGTGTGTGTATATATATATATATATAAATAAAACAAGGAAAATGCTATTAGCCTTATAAAAAAAAAGATATTAGCCTTACAAAAAAAAAAAAAAAAAAAGATTTGGATCCTATCCCATTATTTCTCTATGCAATTAAACATCTCTAAGTTTCCATCCAACTAATTTTTTTTTTTTTTTTTTTTTTTTTTTAGTGGTGTACTCATACACACTTATCTCTTTTGAGACTTAAATTCTTGACTTTTTTTCGAAAAGTAAAAGATTGATACCGTCATGCCACTAACCCGTTGATAGTACGTTGATTCCCATCCAACTATCATAACACGTTGGAGATTCGTGAACGAAGAATGTGAGAACTCAATGTGTGTTGTTTGTCTTAATTTTTTAACCATATTTTCTAAATGACTGATAACAATAATTGACAAATTGCTCTCCTTGTTTAACATGATGGGGAAAAATATATATATATATAATTCATGAATTTTGTATATATAAAATTGCTTTAAACCCTATGTTTTCCAAGATGTTTGGAGAGATCGATAGGGTATATGACCTAGTGTTTGATACCATCCGCACAACACACAAATTCGTAACCTATGGTTTCATATTCTAAACTTTTGCCAGTACATCAAATAATGATTCAGAACGACGTGTGTGTTTATATACATACAGAGAGACACACACAAATACATGTACATAATTGATGAAAAAACAGCTATTCAAGGATGAAGCTAGGTTTCGCCTCTTGCCGATCTGTATATCCCATGTTTTTTGGTCCTACACTCGTAACATAATGTTGCGTGAATGCAAGTTTATCATATATATATATATATATATATACATGTGCTTCAATTCATAACATTGAATATTGCCTTTTTGTTATAAAGATATAGTTATGGGGGGTGCATATACATGTGAGCAGTTGTTTTCAATTCTTGAAGGTTTCATTTGGGGTAGATTTGGTTTCACACCATCCCTTTGTGCTTGGTCCATATTCATTATTTGAAAACAATATGAATGTGACTTGTACCATGATTGGCTGCATCGAATTCGTATTTTGAATTTGGGAGCAGAAAAAATTTAATACAAATTTGAAGTAAACTTTATTTAATTTCAATTTCAAGGCGACAATTTGATGCTCTCAAATTTAATATTAGTTGACCAATTTATATAGATAGTGTTTGGCCACAAAAATTTAGTTCGTTCCGAGTGGAAAGGTGGAAGATGCGGGCGTACCAGGTTTCACCGAGAATTCAATTGAAATGGAATAGTGCCAAACTATATTCCAAATCTAGTCTTGAGAGGCTTGGAGATCAGGCGATTGTGGAGCATTTGGAATGATTGTTCTCACTAGGTTCCTTTTGCCTTTGTGGAAGAGGACTTCGGAAATGGAAAGATGGAATGGAAAAAAAGATGGAAATGCTTGTTGAAACTGCTACTAGAATATTGAAATGAACTTAATTAAATGTCTGAAATTTATTAAATTAGAAACTAAAGTACAAGTTTTAGAAATTAAAAGAATTGAAATATATGTGCGATAAATTAAAGTGATTGAAAAGTAAGATTACACTATGAAAAGATAAAGTACATGAACTGATATAAAGGGTAAATGAAAATAGGAGTTTGATCCGTGTGGAGACGTTCTTTAATTCTGTTCAATTCTTCTAGTTATAGTCAGTAACAATTTTATCTATTGTTGAGATGCTTCTAAGTGGAATGTTTGATTTTTGCGACGTGTCCTAGTGTTAACACTTGTAAGAATATGATGTCTCATAAATTGTTTCTTTGAATTAAAGATCAACACTTTTCCTCTTTTGTTTTGAAAAACTATACAGCTCGTACATATAGTCATCCTTATTTATGTAAGTGAAAAATATTACAAACCTTTCCTATCCAAGAGAATATGGATGTGCAATTTTGACAAAATTTTTAAAATAGCAGGTTGATTGAACAATTCAAATAAAAATAAGAGGATGGTGTAAGTATGATCGGTGAAAAAATTATTAATTAGCAATTAACATTTATTAAAAATAAATAAATAATTTGGCCGGTCTACCTATACCTACAGGTCCTACAATGTGTCATTGGGGAAAGCAATATATTGTTCTTATGTAAGTGCCTTGTTTGGATGGTTGGGGGGAACAAAAAGTTGGGTAAACATGAAAATATAACTAATGCCAACTCTCGAGCTAAATGAAGTGAAAAAAAAAATCCAAAAAACACCAAAACAAACACGCCTCTGTGTATGTTTAGAAACAACTAACTTTTTATTCTGTATTACGGCTGTTGGGCACTATGAATTTTGTTATTCATGGTGCCAGGAGTGCTAGAGCCTTGTGCGAATTAGGTAGTTGTTTAAGGCCCGATTAATAAGAAGGCCTCATAATTTTTTATTTCTTTATATATTATAACTTTTTTAAAATAATTATAATATTTTCTTTAATTATTAAATTTTAACGCATAGAGAAATTTGATAGTTGACCTAAAAGATTTATATTTTTTATCTTTTTTTTGAGGGCCCCAAAAAATTTTTTTTTGTATATTATAACTTACCTAAATATTTTATTTTCTTATATTATTAAACCTCAACAAATACAAAATTTAATAGCATGCCCAAAATATTTCTATCCTTATATTATTATTATTATTTATTTTGCTCTCTCTCATCTTCATTACATCACCATACACACACACACACTGAATATTATATATATATTTAAGTAAAAATTGGTGAAACTTTCTATATTTTTTTAAGACTCCTATTAACTTTTTTTTTTTCTCTCTCCTTATATATTTTTCTCCTTTCTCATTATAAGTTTTTTTTTTTTTTTTTTTTTCATCTTCTCTACTGTTACAATTCACAATCTCACTCTATGTGAAGATTTTGAATACACTTATATTCTATTAAAGAATTTATTGGAGCATTAGATCAAATTATTTGATATCAGTTTCTATTATTTTATAATTTAAATTAGTTTATAATTTTATTAATTTTTGTTATCATAAAATTATATATTTTATTTATATTGTTAAATGTGACTATTAGAAATCACATAGCCAATTAATTAACAATGGAACCAAAGTTTGAAAAAAAAATAGTGATAGGTTTAAAAATTACTAAACAAATAATTAGTATATTACTGGCATAAATATATGATTAGATTTAATTAAAAGGCTACTTTATTTTTTTTTAGCCTAAGGCCTCAAATTATTTTGAACCGTCAATGCATATATATATATATATATATATATATAATGCATGCATGCCATTAGTCTGTCATATGAACAAACCTATGCTTCATAGTAGCATTAAAGCTAGCACATCATATATATATATATATATATATATATATATAAAGGCAATACACAATATGAAAACCTTTCACTTCAACAAGACCTCATTTGGGGTAGTGTGGGGTAGGCCTTTCACAATCTCTTCAATAATTTCACACCATGCCTTTGTGCTTGGTCCAAATCTATTATTAAGATTATGATATATCAATATGAATGTGACTTATCATTTATTGGAATGTCCCCGTGCCCCAAAATAATAATGTAACGGACCTCACATAGTAATTTAGGGTACAATGAAATCAAACTTTCTGAATTTGTAAAAGATTCACATTTTCTATTTTGTTTTGAAAATTTATCACATAGAACTAATGTGTATAAATTCGTCCTGATGAAAGTGTTAAAAATAATACAAAACTCTCTTGTATGAAAGAGAATATGAATATGTAATTAAACAAACTTTAAAAAAAAAAAAAGCTGATTGTATAATTAAATAAAAGTAAGATGGTGATGTAATTATGATCCGTGAAAATATATATATATATATATATATATAAGAAAAATATATACTCATTCACACATTTCATTTTGCTCCTTTAAAGACTACTTTTAAAGGTAACAAAGATACCATTAGACCACAAAATTCTCAATATTAGTGAATATATAATTATTAACTAGCAATTAACATCTATTAATTTTGTCCCCGTTAAATTTTATATTTAATTTTTAAGCTCCCGTCACATGATATCAATAAAAAAATAAAAATGTGTTACATGATGGATAATACCCTTTTCATTACATGTGCAAAAGTCAAATTTATTAGATGATTTCAATTAAATTTTCCTAATTAACCTTGCATAAATTGTTAAATAATCAAAATGGACAAAGAATAATAAAATATTAAAAATATATATTAAGAAAAAAAATTAGTAGAAGGAAGCTGAAATAAGCAATACTTAATCATTGGCAAGCTGGCAAATAGTAAAATAACACATGGGTGGTTTAGACGTGTTACACCATTATTGGTCTTCAAAGCACAAACCATCAATTCAAACATTATTTGGTTAGATCAAGTCTCCAAACTGAGAGATAATGCTGAGCTGGCAAACTTCAATCTACGGCCAGAAATCATTGACAGCGTGGATCGCTGACGTGATCCACCCTCCAGACCGCCAATCATTGGGCCCTCTTGTCTGGATACACGTATCAACTCTCTCTCTCTTTATATAGAGCTTTCTCTCTCTAAAAACTCTCCCCTCCAACGCAGCGAACCAGCAAATGTTCTTGTTATAATAAGAATCTAAGAATCGATAAATTGATTCTCTCTAAAGCTAAACATAATCTTCTGAATTTGATTTTCTTGAGAGAGAACGTGAGAAGAAAAGAAAATTCCTCTGAAATGTCTCTGTTGTATACACTTTTCATTCCTGAAGAATTCAAAGTCGAAGAAGGAGAGTGGGAAAAAGAGAGATAAAAAGAAGATCAAATCAAATAACAAGCCAAAGAAGCGAAGCAGGGGCAGATAAATAGATACAACAAATTGGATAAATTTCCTTCTGCTTCTGCTGGTAATTCTCGATGATTTTTTTTTTTTTTTTTTTTCTCTGCTTGATTAGATTTGATTTTTGAATTAATGTTATATATGGTAACAAATGGACTTTGATTGATTTGATTTTCCATAAATTAGGGTTTTGGCCATGTCTGCAACAGTGATCAGCGATCCGATGGCGTTGTCCGCAACAGAATCACAGCCAGTTGCAGCGAAAATGGCAGCTGAGATCGAAATCGAGTCGGCGAAATGCGATTGTTGCGGATTGACGGAGGAGTGCACATTGGGGTACATAGATCGAATTCGAGAGCGATATCACGGGAAATGGATCTGTGGGCTGTGTTCGGAGGCTGTGAAAGACGAGATGGTGAGATTCGAGAGGCTGATCAGCACAGAGGAGGCCTTGAATAAGCACATGAACTTCTGCAAGAATTTCAAATCAGAAAGTCCGCCTTCGGATCCGACGGCTCACCTGATCTCTTCGATCAGACAGATTCTGAGGCGAAGTCTGGATTCTCCGAGATCGTTGAGGTCGATTCCGAGCAGTCCTCGGATAAGAGACGGTGAGATTGACGGAGTGTTGCGTACTCGATCGGAAAGTTTTATTCCTACTCTGTCTCTGGTGGATTCATCGTCATATCATATCAACAGCAAGAGCAAGAAAGAAGACAATGAGTGAAAAATCAAATAGAAAGAGAAGGTTGTAAGTTTTTAACTTTCATATCACTCGTTGAAATGAATTAAAAAATAAAAATAAAAAATAGGTGCTTTGTTTAGTTGTGAGGGTCAGTACAGAGCGATTTATTCTTATTATTTTTTCATGATTTTTTTTTTTTTTAGTATATATTTGCGTCTGTAATTGTGTATATATGCATGTGCTTATATATTTACATATTTGTCTATATACTTGTGGTGTCTCACTGGTCACAAGTTGCAGGCACTTATATGTTTTCTATTAGTTGTGTACAGGTGTTTTGAAATTGAAAGATATACAAAGGAAAAAAATTTGTGGATTTGAAAACCAAAAGCACCGAGGATCTGCAACGTGAATAATCTTTGATAGCATAGTCCAAACTTTTGAACTGGAACTATTTTTTTATTCCTTTTCATTTTCAAAGTTAGCCAAGCTTGAAAAGTCGCAATTCAGCTGATTTTGATTTGAGTAGCAATTCAGCTGATTTTGATTTGGATTGGATTCAAATGGGGAATAATAAGTTTATGGTTTGATTGAATGGACAGCGTTGGCTTTAGATGTTGCCCTTAGGCATCCTAATGACAGCAAACCACTTTAGTAATGAAAACTAGTTAGTAGTACTTTGGAATTGGTTCTTTGTACTCACTTATGTGGTGTGTATTACTTTTTTTAAGATTCTCCAAATTTAAGAGCAGCTTCTAAAAACAGAATATGGTGTCTTTTGTAGGACTACATTCACAACTTGGTTGAACACTAAAAGACTTCTAATTGTTTTTTTAAGTCTATGTGACTGCGTGAGGGTCCCCTGTGTTTTTTTTTTTTTTTTTTCCATTCTCCAAAGTTCAAGTAAGACACGCACACTTGCAATATTCCTCCTCCTACCAAGGTTCCGACGACTTTCTCTTTAGGCTGAGTACTCTCCTTCGTTTAACTAAATGATGCTATGTATCTACTAGTTGAGAGGGGTAGCTATTTCCTTAGGGTAAGGAAAAGTAAAAAACACACTCATATACCTACTTTTGACTTTATGCAAACTTCAACCTTGTCATTTCCTTTAAATCCTTTGAAATGTGAGAAAGTACAATTAGGGATGGCAACAGAACGGTTTAGGGCAAAAACACCATTCCCATCCCCGCTTTAAATAACTACCCTCATTCCCGTCCAAAACAATTTAATAAACAGGGTAGGACGAGAACATGTTTTAGGGTAGGACGGGAACATGTTTTGTAAAGTACTTTAGTAATTGTATTACAAATCTAACAAAACTAAATAATGAAAATAAATTTTAAACTATGGTAATAATTCTTTTTGTCTTAAGCGGATAAAAATAATATTCAACTTCTCAATTGGAACTATTATTGTAGGAAAATCAAAATTATAAAAGTTCTCAAATAATAATATTGCAAAAGGATATTTAGTAATTGGAATAGAATAAACTAAAATTTGTTTAATATAGCTAATATTATTGAATATAAAATAATAGATAAAGACAAATTTGTAATATATCACTATAAAGTATAAATGGAGCGGGCGGGGGCCTTTCCCCATTCTTGGATTTTTAATCCTAATCCACAGCACTGCCCTAAAATCATTTAGTTACTCTCGTAACCTTTCTATAAGGAACGGAATCCACATCGCTGCCCTAAAATCATTTAATTACTCTCATAACCAGATCATTTGTAATACATTTAATTACTCTAAAACCAAGCATGATGGGATAGTTTGTCATTCTTAAGTACAATAGATAATTTTTATAGAGTTTTTCTAGTAGTCCACTGTTTTATTGTTATTATTATCACAACTAAATTCCACCAGAGATGTGATACTGGGGCTCCAAAAAATAAAAAACTTCAGTCACTACACTTATAGGATAACAATATTAAAGCAAATGCATTTATTTCTAAAGGTTTTCTTGGAGTGCTAATAATCATTTTAAATCACACGGGGTTATGGCAAATTTAAATAGTTTCTCTTTTTCTGAAAATGACAATGAATTTTCCTGGCACCAAGCATACGCATTACAGCACTGCCATTCTGTAGATCTATGCCCCACAGACAGCAGCTTCTGGTAAAAAGGGTTCTCAGTGCAAGGGCCCCATCACTCATGGGAGTTTCAAAATCCAAGTGGGCCTGACCCCTCTGCTTGACTCAACAACCACACTGTGACACTACCCTACCATTCGTCATCACTAATGGGAGTTTCAAAATCCAAGTGGGCCTGCCCTGTGCTAGGCCCAGCCACTCTATCAACCTAGTGTACACCACCTCATATAACAGGGTAAAACTATAGGCCCTATAATGTCAATTGGAGCCAACAAATACGGGCATGCAAAAAACAAAACAAAGATGTGAATTTTATTTATTCAGTGTTTCCTTTTTTATTTAATTGCAGGATACTACAACCAGAACCAGCCTGACATACGAAATCCCCAAACCACCTAAGCAGGAAATTTTGATTTTGCTACATGCAACCACAGAAATTAACCAAAAGATACGACATAGCTTTAGTGATCGCCTAGCCAAAGTTGATTCCTTGTGCCAGCGGTAATTCACTTCCATAATTGATTGTACTGCAAGAGAATCAAAAAATTAATTGAGCGGGCTAGCACAACATGTACGTACTTGTGAGAGAACTAATTAGACAAAACTTACACCAAAAGACTCCCTTGGTGAGATGGTTAAATTCTAAACAGGAAAATTTTGTTTTTCCTTTTTGTCGTACCGGAAGAACAAAGGAATTAATATGATAATCAGAACATCATCATCTAAGAAGCTAATGAGAGTTACCAAGTTGCGCGTCTCATGTACTGTTTCCAAGAGTCGCTTCCTGCTTCACGGCCACCACCTGTTGCCTTTTCCCCACCAAAAGCACCGCCAATTTCAGCACCATTTGTTGGTATGTTTACATTAACAATACCAGTGTCACTTCCTTGAGGCCTGCATCAATTATAGAATGGTAAATACCGGTTTAAAACAATATGCTATTTGAAAAGGACCTTAATTTTTTATAAGAAAATTGCAAAAAAGCGTACAAAAAATATTACAGCGCATCAAGTATCTGAAGAAAGAATGTTTACAAGTAGATCTGAATATAAGATATCCAATGGAAACCCCTTTCTTATTAAACTTGACAAGCAGAACCAAACATCCGTGGGCTAGAGACACTCACCCTATCCATTTGAAAATGATCTCAGGTTTGCTAGTAAAGATGGAACTACTTAATCCTTGAGGTACTGAGTTGTTTATTTCAATCGCTTCTGTAAGAGTCTGTACAAATGAGTTCAGTTTCCAAAATTAGAAACTAATAAAAGCATGCACAATGCTTATATGATGGAAACCAAATTTAGCAGTTCTTCTAACAAGGGAATGAAATCTGCTTATACCTGAAATTTCATAACATAGAGAACTGGACCAAACAATTCTTCTTTTACGACATCAGCAGTTGGTGAAATCTCAACTATTGTGGGCTGCACAAAGTTTCCTTCAGACTCTATAACTGAACCACCGGTAAGGATCTTTCCTCCCTGCAAATGGAAGACCAACAAAAGAAAAAAGGATAAACTTATTCCGGAAACAGATTCAGGATCATCTCAATATCTGGTGTAAAAATTAATACTCGAAGCTTCAAAACATGATTGATGGAGCTTCCAAATTGTCATAACCATATTTAAGCAACAAGCAAATAACAATAGTAAGAGAAATAAGTTCATTGATGAGACAGAAGGATGATAAATGGATTTTAAGACTTGAAAAGTGACTTCCTATCTGAATTGTTTTCCATGTGACTTCGGGAGAAGCAAACTAACTTGCATCTTCCTCCTATTATACTGAAAATATCCATCCAATGTACAAAGCTTTAAGCACTGTTTGGTTGGGCTCTGTGAAAGTAATTTTTAGATAAGAAAATAAAAATCTATTCAAGGCCTAGTTTTTAAAAAAATTACTTAACAAAAACCAATAGCACTTTTCATTCTTTGTATTGTGTAAAAAATATAACAATATTTTGTAAATATTATGAAAGAAAACTTATTTCTTGTTTTTGGAGATTCTTGGGGGGTGGCAATGCAGTTGTTCTTGTGGTGGTTAGCAGTGATACGATGAAAAGAAAATTTTGAACGTTTTGATTGTTTAAAAAGGTATGTTACAAATGCAATTCTCTTGCTTTGGTTTCTTTCTATCCACAAACCAAAAGAAACAATGAGGGGAAAAAAAGTTTAAGAAGATAGTAGGTTACAGAAAGAAGCTTAGGCACAAGAGAAAATACATGCCTGAGACTTGATGATCTCTATTCCCTTCTCAAACCTCTCTCTTGAATCACGAGTATGCAGTGGCCCAAGCAAGGTACCTTTCTCTAAAGGATCCCCAATTTTAACTTGTTTGTATACTTCAAGTAGCTGATCAAGTACTTTTTGATATATACTTTCATGAAGTATCTTCAGTCAAGGGGAAAAAAGAATGTGAGTTGATTAAATCTCAGTTCTAAGTTCCACCAAGAAAGTAAATTGCACTAGAAAAAAAATACCAGTCTACGGCATGTTGTGCAGCGCTGACCTGCTGTTCCAACAGCAGCAAACAAAACAGAGCGGGTAGCAAGTTGGATGTCGGCATCATCCATGACAATTATAGCATTGTTTCCACTTAATTCGAGCAAGCATTTACCATATCTCTCGCTCACTGTTTGTCGAACCATTTGACCCACCTACAGTTGAGCATTAAAAGATGGTTCGACAAAGATTGTGATGGATTAATACCAATCAGAGTCACAACTGAAATAAAAACATACGGCTACATACAAAATCAATATAAGCAAATTACGTAAGAATCCACCAAGTACGAAGCACAATGTGCTTTAAAAGAAAACTGCAGTGAATTTTATATGAATGGACAAAATATTTCTACAGTGGTTTAATTTGATTAACAGATAGAAGGGCCAATTGTAACCCCATTACAATGATTCAATACACACAATATAAACTTAAAGTGGTCCCAGGAACACGCATACAGATACCCCATTAGATGATGATAACAACAAAAACAACATTATCGCCGTACAAGTGCCCCCGAAACAGAGAGAAGGCAAATGGCTGCAAGTTATTCAGTACAGAGTTTTTTTTTTTTTTGATAAATAATTCAGTACAGAGTTTTACCAATAGATTCGAAGACATTAGCTTTACATTGAATTAAGTAGAAATGGATAGATATAGGGGTAATGTTTTTGAAAATGTTCTGTCACGAGATTTTTATAGAAGTATATTGAGATTGCAGGAACAAAAAAGGACGGTCAGAAATGACCAAATTATAACTTCAGTCACACTGGTAAAATCTACAGAATGTTTCCACATAAACATACAAAACAAGACTTTTTTGTGGGAAAGAACAAATGCCCCGATAAATAGCTTAACATGAAAAGGAATTAGAAATAAAATTGGAAAAAACAATCCTAAAAAGTGCAGTTTGCCAGAAATTTGTGATTTAACAAAGGATTTGAACATCTACCTCTTTCTGATTGACAAATACTTATGTTTCTCTTTTGGAAATACAGTTCCGAAAATGCAAGGCAGAAGTACCTTTGAACTACCAGTGAATGAAACCAGAGATATGCGAGTATCTTTTGCAATAGCTTGACCAATTTCAGCACCACCACACAAGGAGGTAAAGATAGCACCTGGAAAATTGTTCTTCTCCAGAACCTCGGCCACTAACTTCGTCATTGCTATGGTAACCAAGGGCGTAGTTGGAGCACCCTTCCTGTTTTTCATGACATCAATAGAAGAGTTCAAGCCATAAACATCCAATTTAAGGTAAAAAATAATAATAATAAATAAATAAATCTTGCACGGATATCAGTAAGCATGTATAGAAGAAAAAAGAAAAAAAGTGACTATGTTAGTATTATAAACTTTGTTGGTAACCAAAACATGTACTTAAAAGGAGATCCAGAACAAAAAGCACCATAATATTCCTTTTTTTCCCTTAGAAATATACATCCTTTAGCCAGTGAATAATCAATAGATTATAAGGAAAGCACCTTAGAGTTTTTGACTTTGATGACATACTGACCACAATACTTCATTGAAGCCCAATATCATGTTAGAAGTGCATTTGCAGCTCAGATACAAGACTGTAATTCTTACAATCAAAAGTTAGTCCATGGCAATATTTCTCATGCGAGAATTAACTGTATCCATGTAATAATATGGTGCATTTTCTAATTTTTAGGAGATGTGGGTATTATACGACAGTGCTTTTAATTTTAAATCCATTTTAATCCTCTCAAAAACTGAGATTCTTATGAATTTTTAGCGATAATTCCAGGATTCTTATAGGTTATGGAAAGCTTTCGAGAATTGGTCTAAACATCCATCAAATCATTTAAAACTTAACAATGAAAAAATGATCTACATATTCCATCAGCAGCAATCAATGTGGAGAATAACTTTAAAGTACTCCAATGTAGATTTACTTACTGAGAAAGAGCCCTGAATGTTTAACATAATGGGACAAACAAAGAACATGATATAACGGATTTAGGAAGTTGAGATCAGATATATAATGAGGCATGGCAAATATTAAGCACCTATGAAATATACATGTATGTCAAGCTAAATAACATCAATAATAAAGTAAAGAAAACTTATCCTGGAAAAGAGAACATAAAACCTTTCATTATACATTTCCATGTAATACTTTAATGCAACCAAATATTCCAGAGGACAGAAATTATAGTTATGGACTTACCAAACAACACAATTGCCGCAGACAAGAGCAATGCAAGCATTCCATCCTAAAAACCCACATTTTACATAAAGTCATGACATTAAAAAAAATGGTTCAACTATTAATAAGTCCAGGACAAAAATTTTGGTGACAAGTCTGATATTAAACCAAAATAAGAAATTATTTCAAGTGGAAACCATATCATACCAATACCAAAATCAACATGCTAACAATTAATGGGGAAATCATCCTACATATTAAAATAAAAGTAAAATAAAATTATGCACAATGGGATTTGAAGTATTTCCAGTGTCATGGATGTATTGAATAATTGAATTTATATTGGAATGGTAAAACATTTTTTATTAAAAATTTGACCACACTTATCAACCAAGTGCTAGAAATTATAGTCCCTTCGAGGGAGGCGGAAACACAAAAATCATCCTTTCCAAAAGATGAAATGAACATTCCAAGTTACATGTATTAGCACATAAGCAATGCAAGTATTTAACTTGAATTGCTGAAAAGAATCCCCGGAAGTCACAAAATAAGGTGAATTGTCTCCAATAGCATGCACTAATCCATTGTTAATTTTTTTATTTGAAAAAAAAAAATATATATATATATATATATATATATATATATATATATATATTTTGATCCTTCGTCATGGATATCAAGTGCTCTTTGAGGTATCGGTCGATGTGGGAAGAAAATGTTGCCTGGTGGGATTCCGGAAGTCACACCACCCTAAAGTATACTACCACTATTCTAATGGATGGGGTTTCATAAGTTATAACACCCAAAACGGTACAAAGCTTCCTCGCACCAAAGTAAATGCCCATCTATAGAGAGGGGAATAAAGCTCACCAAGAACAGCAGATGGGAAGTTGAAAGCCGTAATTACACCAACAATTCCAAGAGGATTCCACATCTGTGCAAAGAGAGGATGTCCAAAATTTTAATAATAGTAACAGACCAACCTGTATATTTCCCAATTCCATAGCACAAAACATTCAGCATACCTCTAACATCATGTGATTTGGACCTGTTAACAAAGTAAGCACAATGAATTCAGGACAAACTTCTATGAGACTAGAAGAAACTCAAATATCGGTTTTTATTGTTTGAATGAATAATCTCAGCCAAAGAAAACAATCAACAGCTGCTACTTTGGTTTTGGTTTTTTTTTTTTTTTTTTTTTTTTGGGGGGGGGGGGAGCAGGTAAGTACTCAAACGCACTTTGCCCACACCGGGGCTCGAACCCCTCTCCTCCCCTTTGAGGGTGGGAGTCTATACCTTTGGTATTAGCAAACACCTTTTGTTTCACAATAACAATAAAAAAGAATGACAAAAAAAAGCTTCAAAAAAATTAGAACCACCAAAAGAAGATGGTACTTGTTCCTCTATCTATAGGAAGCACTAGTGTTGGACTCACGTTCTGAAGGTATGATTGATCCATTTAGTTGCCGACTTAAACCCACAGCAAAGTCACACATATCGATAACTTCCTGCAGTAAGAGAGATTCTGATTTTAAGCGTAATAGATGGCGAATTCCTTTTTTAAAAAAATTAAGTAAATTAATTAAATAGTAGGAACTTCAATAAAAGGAAAAGGTACATCACCTATGTGCATTATGGAAATTAAAACTCATAAACAAGAAAGATAATTACATAAGGGTAGTGCCATTCTCACTCACAAATCATACAAATAATTCTTAGTATCAAACATAAAAAAGCAGTTCTGGAAACAACCATCAAGGCACCAACATTGCATAAATTGTAAAACTTTCAGTTCTATGTCTCATTGATAATATCTGCATGTGAGATTTCTTGGTCAGAATAACATTTCTCTTTACATAAAAACTATATTATGGCATGTGGCAGATCATGTAATTTGGACCCACAATTCAATGGGTGCCATCCTTGGGATCTTAAACAATGGGTACTACCTAGAAGATATTTGTGATCACTTCCCAATAGACGTGGATGATAGGTTGATATTTGGATGATGATGCAAATATATGCTGAATGTTTGAGAGGAGCCTATCTAAGTTCTCTTTCTGACCCATGATATCTCATAGACAAGAGTGGAATCCTTTCAGTGAATCCCTTGCTCAACCAACATCAACAAAGTGAAATTAATTTTTGATTGGACAGTAGCAAGTGAATTAAACCCTAAATATATGAAGCTAATCTGTCCACATGAAGCTAGATGGTGATATAGCACCATATCATAGGAATGTAACAGTTCGTATACAAAAAAGACTCCACTATGAGCCTCAGGTAAAGTAGAAATCATACTATGGAATTACTAAAAACAATATGAAAAACACTATGCAATGGCCAGTATTTAGTTTTATAATATTAGCTAACCAACATTGGACAATTTTAGACTAAACAACAAGTAACACAACTTACCTGAACCTCTCCTATTCCTTCAGGAAGTATTTTTCCCATCTCAAGAGACACAAGTCGACCAAGATGCTCGAGTTTGGATCTGAGAGCATCACCAATCTGTCTAACAATCTCACCTCTCTTTGGTGCAGGAGTCTCAACAGGAACAAAAAAAGAAAAAAGTGATTATAGAGAGGAAATCAAGCTTGCAGTTTTACCATTGACTGCTGTGCTATGTGATTATACTTTAAGAGTTCTAAGATTAGAAAATTCTAGGATGCAGAGAATTTCAAAGGAGAATCCAATTTTGATAAATGACAAACTCACTTGCATCCATATCTTTGAAGCTTCAGAGCAAGCCTTCATGCCTTCCTCATAATCTTGGGTGGAAGCTTCCAAAACTTCAGCAATTGTCTGAATGAACAAGAAAGATGAACATAATTCAACAAAGCCTTTTCCCAACTACTTGGGACTGGTTAAATAAATCCTGTTGAATTTTTTTTTCCCGTAAGTTTACATAAATCCTATTGTTCAATACCACAAAGATGACCATTGAATTTTTATACCACTAAAGATGACCATTGAATTGAAATTTTGACATATGGCACAACACCGATCCCTTATTATTATTGCAGAATATGTGCAATCATTTGAAGTTGAGATTAAAATACTTCTTCCTCAGATTCAAGGTCATCATTGTAACAGTCTGCAAGGAGACATCTGCATATTTTTGGAATAGTATAATGGGTTTTTGTGCAAAAATGAAAGTTTGGAGGATTTTCTATGTAATCATGAAAGTTGAGGGGTTTTTTTGCAGTTACCCTTAAATTAAAACCTTAAAATGAAAAGAAACAGAAAGTAAACCATTCATCAAGAGGATCTCAATTTTGATTAATCAAGGGAATTGATAATCTGCAAATTCAAATGATTCTGATACAAAATTTCATATATGTGGCTGAAAAAAAATCAGGATTGTCTAAGTAAGAATCAAAATGTTATCTAACTATCAATCTCCAATTGAGCTTCAATTTCCAAAAAAAAAAAAAAAATGGAATCAAATATACAAAAAAAATTAGTTGCATAAATAAATAAAGTGGAGTGAGATGATAATCAAAATACCTGATTGTTAGCAGGATTCACAGTGGAGATCACTGGACCAGTTCCCTTCCACTGGCCATTCACGTAACAACCCGGATTCTTAGGGCCGAGCCCGATTTCCTTCAGAAACTCGTACTCTTTCTTTGCGAAACTCATCTCAGTCTGAACACATCAAAATTTATCTTAAAAACACCAAAAAATATATATATATATATATATATATGTGCATACAAACAGACACGTTTATGTATGTATTTGTATGTGAGTGTGTGTTTATAATTATGAGAGAAGTTGTAAATGGAGATTCAGATTGGTAATGCGAACCTCGAATAGGATGGAGATAGCTAGGAGAAAGAGTGTGTTATGGAAATTATAAGGGAGTAGAGAGCAGGAATGAGGGGAGAGAGAGAGAGAGACGTATCAGCAACAAATTCTCGGATCGAAGAGGACTTTGTCCATTTCCAATAATTCAGTTCACGGTATGGGGGTTACCTGGACCTGAGGTGTCGAATGACTGCCCGCCTGCCTGCTTCGGTTAATATGGATGCAAAATTGGAAGAATGGTTAAGTGCCTGCTTCGGTTGAGATAAGATTTTTTCAACTCACATTAATTATATTACTATAAATAATGTTTCAAAATTATTTTCTCTACATATCTTGAAGTAAACTCGATATAATAGTAAAAAAAAAAAAAAAAAATCAACAACTCGATATAATATAAAAATACTATTTGTGTTTTTATTTATAGACATTGATTTTGTTGTGCTAGATTAATAAATTACAAAGTACAAATTTTGAACAAGTAAGAATTTAAAAATTAGAGGAAGAAAAACCGAATTAATTAGTATGAGATAAAAAATAATAAAAAAATAAAAATAAAAAAACTTGTATTAACTGACCAATAGAATAGCAATCATATTTATACTATAATTAATAAAATAAACATAAATAATATCTTCACTTTTAATTATAATAGTAGGATTCAATCCAAGGAATTTAGTTAATTTGACTTCTTGGATTTTAGTTAATTTGACTTTTTTTTTTCCATATATTAGAAAACTTACTTATTTATGCAATTACCATTAAATATCCTTAAGAGAAATTACATAATTGGACATCTCGTTAAATAAAACAAAAATCAAAGAAATTGGTACTCCTTCCTGTCAATTCCACTGCATTGCTGTTCGTTCGAACGCCACTCCACCATTGCCATACCCAGTACAACGCCACCTCACACTCTACCATCTTTGACCAATTTGCAGCAATACCTCAATCAAATTAATAATTAGTTGGAATGATTGTGGGAGATTTGGCTTACCTAATTCAAATTGTCACAACCACTACAACTCTTTTATATTATAACGATATAAATTGACTTATAGAAATGGTTAAATGATGATGTATATTTCTTTAAATGAACTAAATTAATATGCTTTGATTTGATTAATTATGAAGGGAATGGACCACCTTCACGTACCGCCACGCTAACCACGGTGGCTGTATATGGAGGTGGCAATGTTGTTGTAGTGCAGTGGTGGCAATGGCGGTGATGTAGTGTATGTGGTGGTGATCATCATGGTGGAAGAGGATGCCGCAATCCAAATTTAATGAGATTAAAGAAATAGATAATTTTTTTTTCTTTTAAAAAGCTATCCTTATGGTCATTTCACAAATAATATCTAATTAAAGAAATTTTAATTTCTTAAAAAAACTTATTTATTCAATTAATTGTAAGATTAATCTTAAGGTTACAATTAAAAATAAGTGTACTCCTCTATGCTCGCACATGTGTGTATATATAGAACTAATATAAAAATATATATTATATTAGTTAATAGAAGAACGATTATATTTATTTGATAATTAATATAATACACCAACTAAAATTAATTTATTAAAAATATATATATGACTAATATAATGATTGTAAGTAAATTGTGCCAAGTTGTCCAATCATTTGATAACGAGAGTCATTCTATGATATCGATAAATATAAGCCCCTTCTTCTCTTCTAATTTACCATTCCCTCTAAATCTCTAACTAGTCTAATATAATGATACACATGGTCTCTTCTCCTATTGGAGACCTGCACTTACCTTAATTATCTTATGGGAACCACCTTGGTCCTTATGAAAATTAATATAATGCAATATAAGGCCTCTTCTCTTATTGGAAATTAGGCAATCTCCTTAATTGTTTTATGATTGCGTCACCCATTGTAGATATAAAAATTCAAATTTTTCACACATGCTATTTTAGAGTTTGAGAAAATAATATTAAATTCTTTTATTTTTTTTCATGACAAGAATGTTTGGAGTTTAGTGTTTAGATGGGAGGGGGAATGAGAGGAGGATGATACAAGGCTGGAGCACAATATTACAACCGCAAGGAGCAATTCAACCCAACTAAACAAGTAACACGATACTTCAAATAATATTAGGTTCCTGCTCTTGTATCTCAATTTTATAATTATAATAAATATGTAGTGTTAAAATATACTGGAATTAAAAAGTGGAATTGTATTTCATATGTTTACAGCTCATTAATGAATGGAGTTGTTTGAAGAGTAAACATAGTAAAATGACAATTTCAAGGAGGTAAAAAATAAAAAAATAATAATAATAAATGACAATTTCAAGGAATATCTCCCTTTATTATATCTTTCTTTGTCTGTTTTGGTTTTTTTTTTTTTTATTATTATTTTTTTTTAACGAATAAGGAATTCCTAGTTTTCTTGCCTAGTCTAGGGCTGAAAATCGTGGGAGTTGAGTAGGTTGGAGGTACAATTCAATTTAGACCCGATTCAACATATAAAATATTTAACTCTAATCCGTCGTCCAACTCTATCTACTTAATCCAAACTTAACTCATCTTTTAATTTCAGGTTAATTTCACTGACAACCCCTCAAGTTTAGTCAAATATTACATTGAAATAGCTTTCGTAAATTATTATCACTTAAGTCTAATTTTATTTTTCCATCATTGACACCGTTAAAATAATGCAAAAAGACAAATTTACCCCTAATTTTTTTAATACAATTTATTCCACAGCATCAACTAGGGGTGGCAAACGGTCGTGTTAGGTCAGGTTTGGACAGGGTTAAATATGGACAGCTCGAATATGGGTTGTGACCCATATTCAATCCACTTGTAACTGGTTAAACATGGGTTGGTGAAAATAGGTTGGGTCAACCCGGCATAATCCACCAACCCGTTTTAAGAAGAAAAAAAAATGTTATTGTTTTGGATAATCTCATTATTATAGTTTTTTTTTATTTTAGATCGATAAAAGCTTGTAAAAATATGTATGGATAATTGTAAATCCTTTAATTTATTTTGAAAATTCTTTAAATTTATATTATTTTATTTTGTGACCAGACGTGCATGAAGGTAAGATATTATACATATATATATATATATGAAATTATCTGTTAAGCTTTTTATAGAATAAATAATTAAATGAATAAATCAAGTTGTCCTATTTTAAAATACAGATGTAAATATAGGTTTCTTTCGAACCGTAATATTACATACACGAGGAGTCCATGATGTAGAGAGAATTTTAGAGATAGAGAATTTGGGATCGTGTGAGAGAATTTTAAAAAAGAATAGGTGAATTTCAATCAAATAGAGGATGTGAAACTAGATCTCGTATATAATTAGTGAAATATGGGTCAAAATGGGTGACCCATATTTAACCCTCTATAAAAATGAATTGAATATGGGTCACCAATTTGACCCATATTTTAAAATGGGTCAATCATATCCATTTTAAAGTAGGACAGATACGGAAGGGTTGGTGGGTCATGACCCATTTTGCCACCCTTAAATTATCAACTAATTAAATATATATTTTACCCCTCATTACTCCCGCCTAAAGAAAAGAAGCAACAAGACCAACTCAAAACCACAAGAACAACAAACAACTAAGGAACGATAATACTTACCCAAAAAAAAAAAAAAAAGGTATAGTAAGACAAAAAAAAATTACATTATTATACTTAATATCTTTGTGAAAGGTACGTCTCCTATAATCAAACCTACATAGCCAGTTATTTAGTTTGTGAAGTATAAAAAAATTCTTCCTTCATCTTTTCTGATACTCGTTTCAAGTCACTCACATTTCTTCCCTTTCTATGTCAATCTTTTAATGATTTTAACATGAAATTTATGTTACTAGTTAGAAATGCCATTAATTTTGCATTGTTCATGGTTTGTTACATAGTAGCCAAAAAAGTTATCTCTAAGGTAAAATTTCCTCAACTGAGATTGGTGATGCACTAGGTGGACATTGAGGTTAAGTTTCAATTACAATGGACTATCTATATATGAGATAAATAAAGTTCGAAAAAGAAAATAAGAATGAAAAAATTAAGAGTAATGATACTTGTACCGATTTATTGCACAAATTTGTTGCACCGAATATTTATGATTGGTAATTTATGCATAGTATATATCAGTGGAGGGTCCCATTTTTTTATTTATGCGATTTGTTGTAATGAATTGTCAGATCTATCCCTTTTAATCGGTCTATTTATGTATAAATAAAGAAGTGGGGCACTCCACTTATATATACTATGTATAAATAATCAATCATAAACATTCGGTACGATCGGTGCAAGTATCATTACTTAAAAATTAATTGGGCTTTGGGAGTTTGACCAATTAATGCTATATTAAATTTCTGAAATATTGAGTGGCCTATTGTACATATGTATGTTCGGTTCAATGAAACAATTAGTTATTCGTGTGTGATGTTTAATGATATTTTAAAATGTGTAGATAAAGGTAGGAGACATTTCCCTCCCCCTCCCATGAGATATCAAGTATAGTATTTAATTACTAATTCATAATTTACTTAATTTGTTGTAGTGTTCCAAAAAATTGAGCAAAGTACTCAAAATTTTAAATTATTAAATAAGATGATTGATGAACCCGTACCAGAGGAATTATATTATAGATTTTCTCTTGGTTTGGTGGCTGGCAAGGCCACAAATTTGAATGTATAAAACCTATATATTTAAAATATATATATATTTTGGATGGTCTGATGAATCAATTTGGTAAAAGGTATGGGTATTTTGGTCTTTTAAACAATTCTTTAGGATTAAATGGGATTTTGACAAAGTCAAAGGGGGTAACAATGTCTTTTTTACAGGTAAAAAGTGGTTTGACACAGCTAAAAAGTAACTTTTGAGGTATGAGTGAAAAACGGTCCAAACGCTTGTAATATGGGTAATAGTAATTTTCAAAAGGTGTTTCAATGTGATATTTGGCCAAATATGAAGGGGTATAAGTGAAATTAACCCTTTAATTTTTAACTCAATTTTGCAATTTGGATTGATATTTCCAATTAAAAAATTGAGATTAATTCGGGTGATTCATATGATCAATTAGTTAACTTTAGGGGTGTAAGTGAAAAACGGACCAAACGTTTATAATATAAGTGATAGTAATTTTTGAAAGGTGTTTCAATGTGATATT